AAGGGGCCTCAGAGGTTTGACCTATAGGGCTTACCCAAACAACACAGAGGCTGGTATGGTCTTGCATGTTCAGTCATTTCAGTCTTGTCTGACACTTTGTGATGCTAATTAAAGTTTTCTTGGCAAAGATACTGGAGTGATTTGCCATTTCCTTCTCCTGCTCATTTTACAGATGAAGAAACTGAGGCAAACAGGGTGAAGAAGTGACTTGCTCAGGGTCACACAGCTAGTAAGTGTCTGAGGCCAGGCCTGGCACTTTATGCACCATGGCCTAGTGCGGAGGTTCCCAAACTTATTTGACCTACTGGCCCCCTTTCAAAAAAAAATCTTACTCAGCACTCCCTTGGAAATCTTTCTTTAACCCTCCAATGTTTTTTTTTGTAAATTTGCATCATTTCAAAAATATGTAAAATATTTTTAAATGATACATCTTAAGTTTAATAATTTATTATGTATTTGTGATTTTTTCCCTGTATTGAAATTTTTATGACACAATATTGCCTCATGTAACTGTATAGTAACATACTGTAAACAAATCATTACATGTACATATTCCTGTGGATGCATGCTGGACTTCCGGACAATGCATGACATGCTCACCTGCCAACACTTGCTTGCTAAGACCTGTCAGCCAACTTGACCACTGATTGCTTATAACTTGCGTTTTGTATGTTTTTTTTGGAAAATAATGTAATCGCTATGACTTTAAGTCTGTTACACAACAGATGAAACATGTATGGTTTTTCAAAATGTTTTTGTCTTCTCTTCTTTGCTTATGTTTCCACCACCCCTTTATTTTTATTCAACACCCCCCAATTGCACCTGAGGCTGCACCCTGAATTGTTCCAGCACCCCCCCAGTGGGCAGTATCACCCACTTTGGGAACCTCTGTAAGTTCTTAAATTTTTTGCCTTGGGACTTCTTTGCACTCTTAAAAATTATTGAGGATTCCCCCGCCACCCAAAGAACTTTTGTTCATGTGGATTATATCTATAGATATAGATATTTACCATATAAAAATTAAAACATCTTAGTATTATTACGAAAATAGTTTGGCCCTCATGGATTCTTAGGGGTCCCCAGATCGAGCTTTAAGAACCTCAGATTTAGCAGAAAAGATGATGAATTTGGAGTCAGAGATCCTAGCTTCAAATCTATTACTGCCTAAGTGACCCTGAGTAACTTGCCTAAGCGATCTAGGTCTCAGTTTCCTCAACTATAAAATGAGGGGGTTGGATTAGATGATCTCTAAGATCCTTCCAGTTCTCAATATATGATCCTTGACAAGACCTCATTCTTGTCCTGCTTTCTATGTAAAGACCTTCAGGAATGGGGAGCAGCTTTCCATCTCCCAAGGCAGTCGTGGTCTAGTTTGGGATAGCTCAGTTAGAAAGTTGTCCCTTAGGGGAAGGTAGGTGGCACAGTGAATAGAGTGCTGGGTCTGGAGTCAAGAGGACCTGAGTTCAAATCTGGCCTCAGACACTTACTAGCTGTGTGACCCTGGGCAAGTCACTTAACCCTGATTGCCTCTGAAAAGAAAAGAAAGTTGTTCCTTACAAGGAATCACAATAAATTTCTCAGCACTTCCCACTCATTTCTTCCAATTCTGTGCTTTTGGGCCAAGTATAACAAATCTTACATAACTGCATGTAATAGTTTGTATGTGATTGCATATGTATAACCTATATCAGATTCCTTATGCTCTGGGGAGAGGGGGCGGGGAATAGAATTTGGAACCCAATGCTTTTAAAAAAATGAATGTTAAAAATTCTTTTTACATGTAATTGGGGAAAAATAAGATGTTATTAAAAATGAATTAATGAGTGAATGCTTGAAGATACCTATCCTGTCGCCTTTAAATTTTCTCTTCTTCAGGCTAAACATCCCCATTTCCCCATTTCCTACCACCACGCCTCCTGCGGCATGCTCTCCTGGTCCCTGACCACCTTGGCTGTCATCCTCGGAGCACATCAGCTTGCCCGTTTTCTTCCTCAAACATAGCACCCAGAAATGAACCTGATACTCTAGATATGTTCTGACTGGGGTGTAGTATAGCAGAACTGCCCCTACCTTCATTCTGTATGTTATTTGTTGTTGTTATTTAGCTGTTTTCACTCATGTCTGACTTTTTGTGATCCTGTTTGGGGTTTTCTTGGCAGAGATACTGGAGTGGTTTGCCATTTCCTTCTCCAGCCCATTTTATAGATGAGGAAACTGAAGCAAACAGGGTTAAGTGACTTGCCCAGGGTCACACAGCTAGTATCTGAGACTATATTTGAACTTAGGTCTTCTTGACTCTGGGCCCAGTTTTATATATAGCATGACCTAGCTGTCCTTTTCTGTACGCTACACCTGGCACTCAATAAACACTTATTGACTCACTGATTGACTGCAGCCTCTGTCAGCTGTGTGACTAAATGGTAAAACTATAGCAGTCAGTCTTACTTATTAGTATAACCATGTGACAATGCAAATGAGGAGCAAACTCCTTATCTGCTGCATAAGATGAAGGGGATTAGTTTTTGGTTTTGGTTGTGATGTTAAGGGATCATTTGTATTGAGCTTGTGGTCCACTAAAACCCGCAGGTCTTTTTCTCTTTTAATATGGAAATGTTTTACATAATTGCATATGTATAACCTATATCTGATTGCTTACTGTCTTAGGGAGTTGGGAGGGGAAGGAGGGAAGGATAGAATTTGGAACTCAAAACTTATAAAAAACCAAATGTCAAAAAGTTATTTTAACATGTAACTGAGGGGGAAAAAAGAAAATATATTAAAGAAAAGAAAAGAAAAAGATGCCTGGAAAAGGGAAATTGCTTGCCATGGGGTACTGAAGAATGAAACATTGGTGTCTAGCCTTCAACTCAAACATTCTGCTGGAAACACTCTGACTTCTCCCTAAGGTCACAAGAAGAAAATCACTCACTGAGTTTTGGAGTAGAGATTGGAGTCTATCCTTTTGTGTTGGGAAAACCTCAAGTCAGAAAATGAGAAGAAAACAATATCTAGTAAGCAGGACTAGCCTTTGTTGCAGTCTCTATATAGGAGTGATTTTTCTTTTTTTTTTTGGTGAGGCAATTGGGGTTAAGTGACTTGCCCAGGATCACACGGCTAGTAAGTGTTATGTGTCTGAGGCTGGATTTGAACTCAGGTCCTCCTGAATCCAGGGCCAGTGCTCTATCCACTGCACCACCTAGCTGCTCCATATAGGAGTGATTTTAAGGCCCTGTGAAAGCACCACCAACCCCAAATCCCTCCCCCATCCAACTCACAGTTGATTCTTTAAATTCTAGATGTAGATAAAGGTCCAAGCCCTGGGCTTTACACTTCACTGAAGGAAGTTTTGTGTAGTGTAAGGGACACTAGACTGGGCATCAGAAAGAGCCACGTTTGAGTTCTGACTATTCTTTACTTCCTATGTGACCTGAGGCAAATTCCTCCACCCCTTTTAACTTCGAGTATCTTCATCTGTAAAATGGGATAGCATTGGGCTAGGTGTCTCAAAGGTCCACACAAGCAACTCTTCTGTGATTCTATGGACTGTGTCCAGCCAAAAGCAGGTGATGTTCTGAACAGAATGTGAAAAACAACAGGGGTGATGGACACCCTACAAAAATATCCCAGCCTCCACAGGGCAGCAAGGTAGGCAGGCTTGACACAAATGTAATAAACTAACTTTTATACAAGGTGGGAGAAAAGACAGCTCTAAAACTAGAATTAACTGATATGCTCAAGCATGTTTTTTTCTGATCATGCTACTCTCCTGCCCAAATGACTTAATGTCTCCTTATCGCTGATAGAATAGGGCATAAAGGGCTCAGTGTCACCTTCAAGACTTTTGAGCCTTCTCTCACCTCTCTCAGCCAAACTGGACTACCCACTCTTTCCTAAACTTGATATACTTTCCCACCTCCTCAGATCACAGATTTAGATGATGTTAGAGGACATCTAGTCCACTGCCTCATTTTACAAATGAGGAAACTGAGGCCCAGACAGTCCCAAATGAGTGACTTGCCCAAGACCACACAGGGAGCAATCAAATAGTGAACATTTTTAGGTGCCTATTATATGTCAGGCACTACTCTGTTTGCCTCAGTTTCCTCATCTGCAAAATGGCTCCAGTGTCCTTGCCAAGAAAATCCCACAATAGGGTCACAAAGAGTTAAGACGTGACTGAAAAAGAATGAATAAGCTGCTAAGCACTGGAGATACAAAAACAGGCAAAAGATAGTCCCTGCCTTCAAAGAGCTTGCAATCTAATGGAAGAGAGGTTTTGGGAGAGAGATAACGAGTTATGCTTTGGACATGATGAGTTTAAGATGTCTACTGGGCATCCAGTTCCAGATGTCAGTTGAGTTTGAGAATCAGTGGGAGATGTGAGATTGGGGGTCAGCAGAGGGACTGGGGCAGGAAAGGCAAATTTGAGAATCACCAGCACAGATATCAGAGGAAGGATTTGAACCCAGGTCCACCAGCTTCAGAGTTAGTGTTCTTTTTTGGGTTCATCATGGTGCCATCAGTTCACAAGAATGTTTTGTTAACTAGAATACTGCAATCCCAATCATTGCAGTGAAGCATGAGTTTAAATGTCCTTCAGCTTTTGGAGATGAGTTTCTTTGTTCAACCTCTCCGTGTACCTGTTTTTCAATGGGTAATGGGTCCCCAACCATGGGAGGTGCTTACGCAGAAGCTAGCTGGCCAATGGAAAGAGGTCTCTAGGGGGAACAGCAATTAGAATGTTGGACCTGGAATCAGGGAGAGCTGAGTTGAAATCCATACTTAGACACTTATTAATGCTGTGACCTTGGACAAGTAATTTCTAATCTATCTCAGTTTCCTTATCTGTAAAATTGGGATAATAATTGCACCTACCTCCCAAGGTTGTTGTGAGGATAAAATGAAATAATATTGGAAAGAACTTGGAAACCTTAAAGTGATATGGAAATGCTACCTGTTATTATTGTTACTATTAAGTCTGCCATTCCCAGTGTACTCACTTAGCCTCTTTAGGTATAAAACTGTGTCTTGATATCCTCGGTAGTAGTATTCATGCAGGGCCTGGGGAGAAAAACATCATGAAAAGCCATGCTGGTGGGGGCTGTGGAGAGAACTGGGGCTTGCTTCCCCCCTCCTTCAAGAACCATGAAAGGGTTAAAATTTTATCCTCAACTAGATCAGCAGAAATAAGCTCCTTGAGGGCAAGGAGTGCTTCATTTGTGCCTAACACAGCACCTGATATACAGCAGGTGCTTAATGTAATGTTCATTGGATTCCATTGAGCCATTATAGCCTTTTTTCTTCTGGGATTGACATCCTACCACACTCTCCATTGATGATATTCCAAGTCCCTTCTCCTCTCCTCTCAAAGCTCTTACACCACCATCTTCTCCCCCACCCCCAAGTCAGGGATCTCACCTCCAACTTTACAAGAAAATAAAGGACATCTGCTGTGTACTTCCTATTCCACATCTTCAAACTCCTGTCGTCATCATCCCCTATTCTCTTCTTCTTTGCTCTAGTCTCTGAAGGAATAATCTTCCTCCTAGCTAAGGTTAAGCCTTCAACATGGCACTCTTGATTGGAATCCTCCCTCCCATCTATCCCAGGAGCCTGTCCCTCAGTTATGCCCTCTCTTTCTCTCATCTTTAATCTCTCCTTATCCACTGGTTCCTTCTTCACTGCAAGCCCTATCCTGGGTCCTCTTCTCTCTCAACACCTTTTACCTTGGTGAGCTCATCATTCCACACAGGTTCAGTTGTCATCTCTCTTCAGATGTCTCTCAAATTTCTCTACATCCAGTCCTAATCTCTCCTGAAATTCAGTCCCATATGACCAAACACTAGCTGGACCTTGACATCTGATGTCCCACAGGCATGTCAAACTCAAGATGTCTAAAATGGAATTAATATGGAAATAATTTTGCAGTTAAGTGGCACGGGACTTGAGTTCAAATCTGCCCTCAGACCAAACACTTGACACTTACTAGCTGTGTGACTCTGGGCAAGTCACTTAACCGCAATTGCCAAGGAAAAAAGAAAGAAAGAAACTTACTGTGTGACCTTGGGCAAGTTATTTAACCTCTGTTTGCCTCAGTTTCTGCAACTGTAAAGTAGGGATACTAATAGCATCTGCCTCCCAGGCAGATTGTTGTGAGGATCAAATAATCCAATATTTGTAAACTGCTTAGCACGGTGCCTGCCACATTTTTGTTGTTCAGTCGTGTCTGACTCTTTGGGACCCCATTTTGGGTTTCCTTGACAGAGACACCAGAGTGGTTTGTCATTTCCTTCTCCAGCTCATTTCACACCGGAGGAAACTGAGGCAAACAGGGTCAAATGACTTGCTCAGGGTCACGCAGCTAGTAAGTGTCTGAGGCCAGATTTGGATTCAGTTCTTCCTGATTCCAGGCCCAGCACTTTATCCACTGCACCACCTAGCTGTCCCTGGCACACAGCAGGTGCTTAATAAATTCTTGTTTCCTTCCTTCCTTCCTTTGCTGAAAATCTATCCCCCTTCTAAGTGTCCCTGTTCATTCTGAGGTACCACTATTGTGCCAACCTTCAAATTATCCTTGACTTTTTCCTTGTTCTCACCGCATTATCCAATCAGTTGCCATTTCTTGGAGAGTCTGCCTGCCTGTCATCTTTTATGTCTGTCTTCTTATGTCTACTCAGTCTCTACTCTGGTTTGGACCCCATCTTTCATTTAAACCACTGCAATAGTCAGACTGCTATCCCTGCTTCCCATCTCTCCTTTCTGCAATCCATCCTCCATACAGCTACCTAACTCATATTACTAAAAACAATCTGCCCATATCACTCACCTACTCAAAAATCTTCAACAACTTTGCGTTACCTCTAGAAGGAAGAGCAAACTTCTCTTCTTGGCATGCTTGGCATGCTTGGCCCGAAATGATTCCCACCTACCTTTCCAGTCTTGTTATTCACCTCTGCATACTGATCATTCTAGTCAAGCAGGCCTGCTCTCTGTTCACTATATGTGACATCTTGTCTCCTATTGCCAGGCCTTTGTACAAGCTATCCTCACTCCCTAGAACACACTCTCTTCTCACCTCTGCCTCAAAGAATCCTAGCTTTCTTCAAGGTGTAGCTCAGGTTCCATAGCTTACCGACCTTTCCTGATCCTCCTAGCTGTTAATGGTCTTTCCCTCTTGAAATGATTTCACAAAAAAAAAAGAAAAGAAAAGAAAAGAAAAGAAAAAAAATTAAAAATTAAAGAAAAAGATTACTTCACATAGATTTTGAAGTTGTTTATTGTTTCCTTCAATATAATGTAGGCTCTCTGAGGGCAGGAACCATTTCATTTTTGTCCTTGTATCCTCCAGTGCCTAACATGGTACTGGCACATAGTAAGCACTTAAGGAATGTTTGTTGAACGAACTTGCCTACTCTGCTTATGTGTAAGTCCAGCCCTGTGCACAGTCTCCCCACAAAGTGTTTTCTAGACCTGGGGCCTGTAAATTTTATAGGATCCTGCTAGGAATTCATGAAGAAAGAAATAAACATGAGACTGTTTAACCATTATTTGCATGGCAACTTCAGCAAACCCTCAAATCCCCCGATTTCCACATTTGTTTCATAGGTCACAAAATTTGCTGCCAAAAAGGACCTTAGAGATTATCTAGTTTTCATTTTACATGAGAGCAAACTGAAGTCAAAGGAAGTTAAGTCACTTACCCAAAGGTGCACTGGTAGTAAGCAGCATAGCTAGATTCCAACTTAAGTCTTTTGACCACAAGTCCAACGCTCCCAACTCCAGAGAGTCATCGTGATAGAAAGCACATTGGATGGATCTGGGTTCAAATCTCTTGCCTACTATATTGGAAAGGTCACTTGTACTCTTGGGCCCTCGGTTTACTCATTTCTAAAATGGGGGAAGGGTAGACTAGATGAGGTCCCTTCTAGATCTCTCTCTATGATACTAAGCAGCCCTCTTTCTTCTTCAAAAGGTGACCACAGAACCTCTTACCACTTACCATCAGGTCTGGAGGAAAGAGCGCATGGGTCATCCGGGCAATATTCTCCAAGGAGAACTGGAGGGTACAGTTGAATAACCGGAAGTCATGGAAGATAGCTGGACAGTCCCTGGGGCAAATGTCTTGCTGGCCACTGAAAGCTGAGATGGTAATTGAGTCTGTCCAGTAGGAGCATGGCTGCATTCCAGTGAAACCTCCATCAATATACCTCTGTTTTTTGGAAGTAGGAGGAAGAAGGGAACAAGAATGTTTGGGGGGAGGGGGTTGGGGTGTTTGGTTATTGATAATGCAAAGGAGAGCTTTTGGAAATATGCTGGTGTTCACATGACATTTCCCTCAAGGATATTAGAATTCTAGAATGTTAAAGTTACATAGGGCCTTAGGGGCTATCTGCACCAAAGTTTCCTACCTAGCGCTGGTTTCTGACCCTCAAAACTATCCCTGCCAAAGGTCCTTAATTCTTTGAACCTATAACTTAAAAAATTGACTCTTCCTTCTCTTTCTTTGTCCCACCCACATCCTGTTCCTTCCATCCGATCCCAGGTCCCTCCCTGTCATTAGCCTCCCTGTTTGGCAGTTAGGTAGAGTCCTTCTTGATCTTGCTCCAACTTTCTTTCCAGGCTGATTATACATTAATCCTATGCACTCCCTTAACCTTCCAGCCAAAAATGGCCTCTGTTTCCCATACATGACACATATCATCTCCCCCCGTTCCTAATAGGCCCTCCCTCCTCACTTTTTGAAATCCCTAGCTTCTTTCCAAGCTCAACTCAAGTATCGTCTCTTGTCTTCCTGCAAGGGGCCTGTCATCACCCCCTAGTTGTTAGTGCTGCCCCCCAAAATCATTTTGTGTTTATTTTGTATATGTCCTGGATTTACTTCTCTAGGAACATACTCTATCCTCCCTGGATAATGTAGATTCTTTTACACATTATCTACTCTGTATCCATTAGAATATAGTAGATATTATTAAGCATTTACTAAGTCTATTCATTTAATTAAATGATTAATGCAGGTGCTGAGAACATCCCAAGAGAACTCATCATTGTCACAGTTTTAATGTTGAAAGGGACCTTAAAGGTCATCTAGTCTAGCTCCTTTATTTTACAAATGAGTAAATTGAGGCTCAGATGAGGAAGACGAATTGCCAAAGATCACTGGGTGAGTTAGTGAGAGTCAGGACCAGAATCCAAGTCACCTTATTCCTAATCCACTGCTCTTTTCACTAAGGCTTAGGTACCAATGGATGACCTCTGGCCATATATGACCATGGGGAACATGGGCCTGGGGAGGGGAAGGTGGGAGATGCTGGAGCCAGCTCTAACTGGCTCCTTGAGCCAATGATTAAAATTTCAGTGTGAGCACTTATACTTTAGAAGCTAGTAAATGATACAAATTAAGGCTTAATTTACTATTTTGTTGATCATCTTGACTTAAGAAAGCGATGGAAAAAATGTTAATAAGGCAGATTAAAAAATGTGTCAGGTGTGTGCCTTTTTTTAAAAGTGGTTGTTAAACTTTTATCAGCACACTTCTAGGTACAGGGCTGGTATTATAACACACACCCAAATATCTCCCAGAGAATGTGTACATTTTCATAAGGTTACTCCTTTGGCTAAAGCCATTGTTCTCCAGAAGACCCTTGTGAAAATGGGAGGGAGAAAAGCTGGGAGAGAGAAACCTATGAAGTCATTGTCATCTATTAACATCCTGGCTTGAATTATGTTTTATGAGCTGATGAGAGGTAGGTGTTGGTGAGTGTTTTAAGTCCAGAGAGAACATTCTCCAATTTGAATAAAGACCTTCTCTAAATAGGGTGTGCCTAAGAGCCACCCTAATTGTTCTCCTCATTGCAAAAGCATTTTTGAACCTTACATCTAAAGAAGACTGACGCTTTTGCTTTTAGTCGGAAGAATAGGCTAGGAGGAGGCAGGAGTGGACTTTGTGGAATCAGGATTCTAGACCTGTCTTAACTCTGTTTTGCTTTCAGACAGCTTGATGTTACAGCAGTGACCCGTGGGGAGTCTATCTCTTGCTACCCTGAAGAACAGGTGAGAAATTTTCTTTTCCCAGGGGAAGCTTTTCTGCCTCTGGATAGAACAATAGCAAACACCTGCCCAGCGGGTACTGTCATCGATTTTCTTGGCAATATGTTGCTTGTTTCCAGAATATTCTGTTCTGTCCCTTATTTATCTTTCAAATTTATAACCCACTCAATTTGACCTTTGTCTTCTCCATCCAAAAATTAAGTCTATAAATTAAGTGACACTCTCTCACCTCAGAAAGAACTTATCAATGGCACCTATTAGCAGGTCAATTGACTGTGACTTCCCTTGGGGCCAAAAGAAATAACAATGCCTTAGCTAAGCAAAATAGTAATGATAATAATAACAAAGGCAGCATGTCAAGTCGATTCCTCAACACTTAGGAATCCTAAGGCTCTCTCAGCATGGTATAGTGAACAGAATACTGGACTAAGAGTCAGGAGACTTCTAAACCATCAGAATGACCTTGACAAGTCACTTTATCCCTAGTGGCCTCAGTTTCCTCACTTGTAAAATAGAGTTCATGTTGTCTGCTCCTCCTGCCTCATGGAAGTATATATAGGAAGATCACGTGAGATGGTATGTCAAGCTCTTTAAATCTTAAAGCACTACATAAATGCTAGCTATTATTATTATTATTATTGTAATTATTAAGAATTGAATACAATGTACGTAGATTTGGTTATTTCACTCCTTGGGCTCTCTATTGCCTCAAAGTTCCTTAGTATGGCATTCAAGACCCTTCATAATCTAAAGCCACACTACTTTACCAGGCTTGTCTCACCCTATTTTCTTTCATGCTTCCACCAGAATGAACTATTCAGTCTCTTATACACGCTTCACACTTTCTCATCTCTATGACTTTGCTCATTAAGGTTCGTATTCATGAAGCATCCTCCTGCTGTCCCCAAACTATAATTAATTAATTAATCTAATCAATTCTTACCCGTTTTAAAAAACCCAACTCAAATGCTCCCTCCTCCATGAATCCCTCCTTGATCTAACATAGTTTATTAGGACCTTTCCCCACCCAGACCTCACATGGTACTGTGTTTGACTCTCTCTTAGGCATTTATTCGTGTGTTATTTTGTATTATGGTTATGTGCAAAGAAAGAAGCACCTGTTGTGTACCTACTATGTGCCAGGCACTGGGCTAAGCATTTTACAACTATAATCTTATTTGATTCTCACAACAATCCTGGGAAATAGGTGCTATCAATATCTCCATTTTATAATTGAGGAAACTGAGGCAAGCAGAGGTTAAGTGACTTGCTCAGGGTCACACAGCTAGTATGTGTCTGAGGCTGGATTTGAACTCAGGTCTTCCTGATGCCAGACTCAACACTCTATCACTTGAGCCACTAGCTGCCTCTTTGTATCTGTCATACCGCCCTACTAGAATGTAATGCTTCATGAATGCAAGAAACTGTGTATCTCATGGTTTGTAGCTAGAGTGCTAGATTTGGATCCAGGAAGACCTGGGTTCAAATCCAATCTCTTATGTTTACTATGCATACTGTGAGTGAGTCCCTTGCTATCTCTTGTCCTTAGCTCGTTTATCTGGAAAATGAGCAGGTTAGACTAAATAATCCCCTAGACCTCTTTCTAACTCTAAATCAATCCTCTTATGATGTCCCCCAGAGCCTAGCATAGTGCTCTGAAACACAGTAAGTTCTTAATAAATGCTGATTGAAAGCGCTGACTTCCCCACTCCACTATCTCTCCGCCCGTGCTAAGGCCTGGGTACTCACCACACCCCGGTAAGTTGGTGGAATGAGGCCGCAATATACAGGTATGAAGCAGCTGCAGTAGAGTGCCTGTGGAGAGGGCCCAGAGGGCAATGGGAAGATTCATGGTTGGCATGGCAGACTGATGCTTATTTCCAATGATGATGCGCATCCGAGTAATAACATAAAAGACAGGACTCAGGACTGAAAGAGATCTTAGAGATCATCTGCTCCATCCCTCATATTTTACAGATTAATCAAGGATCAGAAATGGAGACGGGCAGGTCATAGAGGAAGGGGAAAGGGTGACAGATGAGTGACACGAGTGCTGTACTGGTCTCCATGAAAACATGAAAATAATCTGAGGAGCAAAGAATTGGAAATGGAGTGGATGCCCATCCATTGGGGAATGACTGAATAAGTTGTGGTATGTGATTGTGATAGAATACTATTGTGCTATAAGAAATAATGAGCAGGCTGCTTTCAGAAAAACCTGGGAAGATCTCGATGAACTGATGCAAAGTGACACGAGCAGAACCAGGAGAACATATGACAGCAATATTGTACTATGAATGACTTAGCTATTCTCAGGAATATGATGATCCAAGACAATACCAAAACACTTAGGATGAAAAATGCCATCCACCTCCAGAGAACTGATGGCATATGGATGCGGACTGAAGCCTTTTTCTTTTTTTTACTTTCTTTATTATTCTTGTTTTTTTGGTCTCTATGTGTGTGTTTTGTTTTTTTGTTTTTGGCAACATGGCTAATATGGAAATGTCTTGCATGACTATACATGTATAACCTATATCAAATTGCTTGTCTTCTGGGGAGCAGGAGGGGGAGGGAGAGAACTTGGAACCCAAAATTTTAAAAAATGAAAAAATTTTTGTTTACATGTAATTGAAAAAAATTAAATTTTTTTTAAAAAGAAAATAACCAGGGGAAGTCCTCCAATATGTTGGGTAGAGCTTCTGTGGGAGATTTAAAGGAAAGGCATGGACAAGAATCACACCAGAGAAGGCATGCATGAGCAGTGGGAGCACCCATATCATTGAGAACATGACTCACTTGAGTTACTGGAGTAACCAATTACTCTGAGGGGAAGGAGATGGAAAGGGGGTCATCAGTAACCCAGAGGCCCATCTGCCCCACTCCCACCCTTCCCACCACCACCTGCTGAATTTTCCTTTGATCATGTCACCTGCCTGCCCACAAACCTTCCTACAGGATGAAGTCCAAATTCCTCAACCTGGCAGATGGGGTCCTCTGAGTTTTCCTCATGGAAGCCGGGTATTCAGTAAATATTTGTTGACTGGTGCCCAATAAATACCCATCATTTTGTTCTTCTATTCTGTTTTATGGCAAAAGGGGAGAACAGGGGAAGGCTAGTGATGGCCATCATACCCTCATCCCTTCCCCCAAGACTTCTGCTCAAGGCCTTTTTGTAGTTTCATATGTAGTGTGGATGGTGACTGGATAGTGTAGTCATGCCCATGGAGGGGAGCAGGGTAAGTAGTGGAAGGGGAGAAACCATTTTCGTTTCATTAAAAAAAACAAAAACACACTGTAGTCCCAGTGCTAGATCCACTCATTTGGCCACCCAGCTGCCAGATAACCTCACCGGGTTATTATGAGACTCGAATGAGAATATGAGCAACTGTAGATGATTGGTACGTTTTGTTATCCCTCTGCATATTTGCAATAATTGTTTTACCTCTGCCGAAGTGAGAACTCAGCACAAGGACAATTTTGGGGGGGGTCCAGGTTTGTGATTTCATTGGTGTAGGGAACTTACATTACAGAAACTGCTTCTACTTATACAGACGGGCAACTCACCGGCAATATGTTCTTGAGAGAGTTACCTGGGGCACCGAGAAGTAAAAAGATTTAAGCAGGGTCACAGAGCCAGTGTCAGAGGCAGGAACTCAACCCAGGTCTTTCTGATACCAAAGCCTGTCCTCTACCCACTACTGCATCCTGTGTCCTTCAAAGTGCTGCTGCAGCGGCAATAATTCAGTCTCATTAACAAATATACTGGGGGAAAGAGAGAGAGAGAGAGAGAGAGAGAGAGAGAGAGAGAGAGAGAGAAGGGGTCTGCTTTTCCCTGGCTGTTTCTTCAGGGGAATGGCACTATAGCCAAGGTCAAGAGAAAGAGGGGCACCAGAGAGCCCTCACTAGGCTTCAAGGTCTTATGAAAACAGTGAGAAATTTTGTGGAAATAGGCCAGGATTCAGTAATATGGGACGTGTAAGGGAATGAATAGGAATTCCTTGTCTTAAAGTGACCAAAGAAAGAAGGAAAGGATATAAATGTACAAAAATAATTATACCAATTCTTTTTTTTAGTGGCAAAAAACTGGAAACCCCTTAGGGGGTACCCATCAGTTGGGGGGAATGGCTGAATAAATTGGGATATGTGGATGTCATAGAATACTATTGTACCATAAGTAATGATGAAAGGGATGGTTTAAGAGAAACCTGGGAAGATTTCTATAAACTGATGCAGAGCAAAAGGAGCAAAAACCTGAACAATTTATTCAATAACAACAACAACTGTGAAAGACTTAAAGAACTCTGAGTCATGCAATGGCCAACCATGATTTCAGAGGACTTGTGATGAATCATGCACCTAACTTCTGAGAGAGAGAGAGGTGATAGATTCAAGATAGAAAATGGAACCTACATGTTTGGAGACAGACAATTTCAGAATTTGTTTTATATGACTGTGCATATTTGTTACAGGGGTTTTGTTTTTCTTTTCTTTTTTTCCAAAAGGGGTGGGATGGAAAGAAAATAACTACTTTTTAATTTAAAATGTAAATTAAATGAAATTTTTAAAAAAGAGAGTGGTTTCTCTGGTTCTTTAGCTGACTTCTATTTTTGATATATTTAAAGACTATGTGTATTTGTTTTTCATTTTTTTTCCAATGGGGGGAGTTGGGATGGAGAGAAAATAAATGCTTGTTAAAAGAAAAGAAAAGAAGAGAAGAGAAGAGAAGAGAAGAGAAAAGAAAAGAAGAGAAAAGAAAAGGAAAGAAAAAAGAAAAGGAAAGGAAAAGAAAAGAAATGAAATGAAAAGAAAAGAAAAGAAAAGAAAAGAAAAGAAAAGAAAAGAAAAGAAAAGAAAAATCCCAAATAGTCAGGAAACCCCCTCTATTTTTTTCCTGAAACAAGTCTGATCAGAATCCAACCTAACCCCAGGGATATAGCACCTTTACCTCAATGAGCTCTTCCTTGGAAGTATATTCAGACACCACCACGTTCTCCCCATCTGTCACCCGTGTGAGGGCCACATGGAGCCTTCCTGTCGCCAACTTGTAGGAATCCTCCGGCAGGACTCGGTACAGAAACTGCTTCATCATCTGGACCATTTTGCAGGAAGGGGAAAACGGTCCCAGAAAGGATTTCCTGACCTCAGCCACACCACAATTTAAGACTTTGAGGTACTCATCTAAGGTAGAAACAGAGGAAGAGGGATCAACATCAATGTCCCCCAAGATGGAGAGTGTCCTATAGTAATTTTGGGGTCTTCTGAGCCTATGCGCTCTGTGGGATTTCTGCTGAATTGTCATTTAGTGCCAAGAAGAGAAGGACAAGGACGGAGGAGGAAAAAATTCTAAAGTCCTCTCCGTGGCTTTCAAGGTCAATCAACAAACAGTTATTAGAAGATCAAGGTCCTCCATAATCTGGCTGCACAACACCTATACAACCCTGTCTCGCCTTCTTCAAGACAACATCTCTTCACTCCTTTTTACTGAATAGTGAGCATCATTTAGTGGCTGAAGAACAGCACAGAAGCTAAGTAGATGTGGGTTTGAATCCCTCCTCTTATGTATACTGACTATGTAGCCCTGGGCAAATCACTTAACCTCTCATTACTCTAGGAAACTCTCTGAGACTATAAATTTCAGAGAAGCTGCCAACCTGACTCGGTAGAGGGAGTGAATGCCATGAAATCACATATCCAGAATCTGTCCCTTATACAGGCCATGCTTATCTCTACATCTGCCCCTTTGCCTACATCATTCTCTCCAACCTGCTACCCCTGCCTGCTTCTTCCTTCTCCTATCCAAAACCATCTCATCCTTCAAGACCCATTTTAAGCCCCAGCTCCTTCAGGAAGCCTTCAGTGATTACTAAGAATGTCGATGGAGAGATCACTCTCCCTCTCTCCTTCCTGACACTATACCACATTGTAAGTCATAGTTGTATTCAATTTAGCTTCGATGCTTTATAAACCTTGTTTCATAAAATTAATATGGTACTATATAAATTGAGGCAGTAGATAAAGTGCTGGGTTCAATGTCAGGAAGACCTGAGTTCAAATACAGTCTCAGAATCTTCCCAGCTGTGTGACCTTGCGCAAGTCACTTAACCTCTGTTTACCTTAATCCACGAGACAGGGAAATGACAAACCACTGTAATATCTTTGCCAAGAAAACCCCATGGACAGAGGTCCACAGGATCATGAAGAGTCAGATATGACTTACCAACAGCAGCTTATAAATTGAGTCATTATTATTGTGGGTTATCTATTATTATGAGTATCTATGTAAAGCTGGTCATGTGTCTAGAGCAGGTATAGACCCCCTTTGATAGTCTAGTGAAGCCTCGAGGTCCCTTCTCAGAATGCTTTTTTTTTAAATTTCCTTTATATTTATTGTTTTATTTTATTTGTGTTTTATTTTGCAACATGGCTAATATGGAAATATGCTTTGCATGACCTCATATGGATAATTGAAATCAAATTGCTTGCTCTCTCTGGAAAGTGGGAGGGATGGGTAGGAAAGAGAGAATTTGGGACTCAAATTTTTTTTACAATGGCTATTAAAAATATTTACATGTAATTGAGAAATATTAAATGAAATAAAAATGAAAGGAAAAATGAAAAAAAAATTGTAGACAATGTAAAATACTTGAAAATCTACCTGCCAAGACAACCCTAGGAACTATATGAACACAATTACAAAACACTTTTCACACAGATAAAGACCTCTGTGGGAAAAAAGAAATGATGAGGTTTGGCCTGCCTCTTCTGAAAGGAGAAAAGCCAAAGACTTCGACTGTATGGCAGCTACACTTGAGGGTCAGGCAGACCCCAGGAAATCTGGGAGTCTAGAGCTCTTTTATATAGTCTCTGAGAGGAGTATCAGGGCTAGAATGATATCTATCTGCCTCCCTCAAATATCTCTGCTCTATGAGGTACAATGTTTAAGGTTTCAGAAAAAAATAAAAGTTGCTTCCTTATTCACTCTTTTTTAAAATATAAATTTGTTCATTTTTAGTTTTCAACATTTACTTCCACAAGATTTTGAGTTCCAAATTTTCACCCCATCTTGCCCCTCTTCCCACCCCAAGATGGCATGCATTCTGAATACCCCTTCCCCTAGTCTGCCCTCTCTTCTATCTCTCCCCCCCACTTCTCTTATCCCCTTCCTCTTCTATTTTCCTGTAGGGCAGGACAGATTTCTGTACTCCATTTCCTGTATTTCTTATTTCCCAGTTGCATGTGAAAACATTTTTTTAACATGTGTTTTTGAAACTTTGGTTTCCAAATTTTCTCTCCTCCTCCTTTCCCACCCATCCTCATTGAAAAGGCAAGCACTCAGTATAGGTTATATACGTGCAGTCATGCAAAATACTTCCATAGTAGACATGTTGTGAAAAACTACCTCTATTTCCCTTAATCCTATCTTGCCCTCCCATTTATTCTATTCTTTCTTTTGACCCTGTCTCTCCTCACAAGTGTTTGCTTCTGAGTACCCAATTTCCCAATCTGCCCTCCTCTCTATCATCCCCCTGCTCTCTTGTTCCCTTCTCCCCCTATTTTCCTGTGGGGTAAGACAGATTTCCATACCCAATTGAGTGTGTATGTTATTCCCTCCTTAAGCCAAACCCTATGAGAATAAGATTCACTCAGAATGTTGGGTTTTTTTTGACACAATTGGTATTAAGTGACTTGCCCAAGGTCTCATAGCTAGTAAGTGTCTGAGGCTGTATTTGAATTAGATGAATCTTCCTGAATGCGGGCAGGACGCTCCATCCACGTGCCCCTAGCACCGCCCCCCTTTTTTTTTTTTAACAATATCTAACATTTGTATATCCCCTACCACATGCCAGGCACGTGCTAAGTGTTTTACAAATATTGTCTCATCTGATCCTAGTACAAAGGTGCTATTATATCTCTATTTTACAGGTAAGAAAACTGAGGCAAAAGAGGTTAAGTGACTTCTATACAGCTAGGAAGTCTGTGAGGCCAGATTTGAACTCAGGTCTTCCTGACTCCAGGCCCTGCTCTATTCACTGTACCTACAAACCAACCAGGGATGGTTCTCTGAGTACATGAGTGGGAAGAGATAAAATAATGGAGAGAGTACCAAAATTGGGGTCAAAAGATCTAGTTCAAACCCTGTCTCAGACACATAGTAGCTGTGTGACCCTGGGCAAGTCACTTCACTCTGTTTGCCTCAGTTTCCTCATCTGTTATATGGGGACACACAGGAGAAGGAAATAGCAAACCACTCCAATATCTCTGCCAAGAAAACCCCTTAGATGAATCTGTGGGTCATGAAGAGTCAGACGTAACTGAACAACTGAACGACAACAATAATTCTAGCTGAATTGATCATAGATACAGAGGTAGAAGGGACTTCAGAGTGCATCTAGTTCAACCTTCTTATTTTACACATGAGGAAACTGAGGTCAAGGAAGCTTAAGGGACTTCTCACAGGTCACGAAAGTAAGAAGCTCAGAGGCAGGATTTGAACCCAGGTCCTCCATCCAGAGCCAGTGAGCACTCTTCCCACTGGACCGGATTGTATCTCACTGAATTGCAATCGAATTAAATTCAGCAGACTTCAAGTTCATTTCCTATGACTACTAGCCTAAATTATATAACTTCTTTGAGTCTCAGTGTCCTCCTCTGTAAAATGGGGATAATAATATGTGCCCTTTCTATTTCATAGGGCTGTTGAGAGGGAAGTACTTTGCAAACCTTTGCTACAGAAATTACCAAAAATAATGATCATCATTGGGGTAATGAATGGGGTGTGGGTGAAAGGACATGGGTCTGAAGGTAAGGATACCTGGATTTCCAGCCCCAGCTCCTCTATAAAGTCAAACTGTGATCTCAGATAAAATATTTCCATTCTCTGGGCCTCAGTTTCCCAATCTGCAAAATGAGATGTTTGGACAAGTTGATCTTTAAGGTCACCCTGTGGTTCTAACATTCTAGAGATCTCTGAGTCCGTGTTACCTGCCACCTCTTCTCCTACTTAGGATAATGTGAGGCTCAAATGAGAGTGAATTTATATTGCTGCTTTGTGGAAAAAGTCTTAAGTCATCACATGGGCAGGAGCTAATAATTGCTCTTCAGTCATTTCAGTTGTGTCTGACTCTTTGTGACCCAATGAATAAGTCCATGGGGTTTTCTTGGCAAAGATACCGAAGGGGTTTACCATTTCCTTCTCCAGCTCATTTTACAGATGAGGAAACTGAGGCAAACAGGCTGCAGTGACTTGCCCAGGGTCACACAGCTACTAAATGTCTGAGGCCAGATTGGGTCTCATGAGGATGAGTCTTCCTGATTCCAAGACCAGTGCTCTTATCTACTTGGTCACTTAACTGCCCCAAACTAACAATTAGGACTCTCCAAAAATGCTTTATGAAATGATGATGACAATAATAATAGCTCTTATACAGCCCTTTAAGGTTTACAAAACTCTCTACAAATATTATGGCACTGAATCCTCACAACAACCCTGCGATGTAAATACAGTTATTATCCCCATTTTACAGTTGAGGAAACTGACAGAGGTTAAGTGACTAACACACAACCAGTAAAAGCCTGAGGCTGGATTTGAACTCAGGTCTTCCTGAATCCAGACCCAGCTCTTGATCCACTCATTGGGCCACCCAGCTGCCAGCTAACCTCATGAGACTGAAATGAGAATGTGAGTAAAGTAACTTGTATACTTTAAAGCACTGTACAAATACTAATTATAATAATTCTGACTGTCTTTTACCAAAGTAGCGAACTTCCTGTCATGAGAAGGGTTCAAATGGAGAGTGGATATCCACCTGTCAGTGATGCTATAGAGAAGAATCCAGCATCGGGTGGGAGGGTCCTCTCAGATAATTTCTGACTCACTCTTCCTATGGATCAAAGTTCTGGTGATTCCTATGTAAGACATTATAATCTATTAACTCCTGTTGTCCTCACAAACACTCCCATGAAGTGGGGCACTAGTGATTCTAGAGAGAGAAACCAAAAAACAGAGAGGTTGAGCATTTGTCCAGTGTCACACAGCAAGTGAGTAACAGAACCAAGACTAGTGATCATTCCTTGCATTTATATAATGCATTATAGTTTTAAAACTACTTTCGTATCTATTATCTCATTTGACCCAGATAGCAAGCCTGTAAGGCAGGCAGAGCAGAAATTGCTCCCAA